TTTTTTTTTTACTTTTTTTTTTTTTTAACATGTAAATTTATTTTTTTTTTTTTTTTTTTTTTTAAATAACTGAAATATTTCAAATTTGTTGGCTTGAGCAGGTTTGGTTGTACTGCTCGCAACATAAAATGTCATCATGACCTTCCGCTCGTCTACGGACTTCGGAACCCCTTTGTCCGTTATGATTTCATCGGATGTGGGGCTGGGCACCTCACTGGGATTTGTTAACTTTTATAGCCCTGTATTTAGCGCTACGGTGAACATCTCTAACTTATTATGTCATGAAGTACTCAATAAGCATAGGGAAAACTTCACCACAAAATTGAACTCGGAGCAGAAGACATAATGACGTCTTCAAATATCACCACTTAACCAGGGTAATGTAACATTGTCGTGAAAAACTTACGGGCGTATGATGGAGGGATTTGATGTTGTCATGGAAAAACTCAAGGACGCCCTAAGGGATTTGATGTTCGATTACATTTTTAAAACTTACCGAAATAAACAATAAATAAATATATAATAATAAATACAATAAACAACGCGAGTTTAAAACAGTCATTTATAAAAAATATCCACCACTTAGTCAAACGTTGTGTTTGTTATAATTTAAGGACGGTACCACATTTAGATTAGTGTGGTAAGCTCAATGTTCGAAGTACCACATTTAGATTAGTGTGGTAAGCTCAATGTTCGAAGTACCACATTTAGACTAGTGTGGTAAGCTCAATATTTTAAGTACCACGTTTAGACTAGTGTGGTAAGCTCAAAGTGTGCAGTCGTAAAAAGGGAGCTTTACACATCAAGACGTCTTGTCGTCTAGTAGGCAGTAAAGGGCTATCAGCCGGCTGTGAGCTGTAGACCAATAAGGACGCCAACTAACACATGTTTGCTTTCGTGAACGTGTCTGACGTAATGTGACGCAATGTGACGTCCACCGCACGCTGTGTAAAGTGCTGGTGGCAATCTTCACACCCTGATTAGCGCCACCTTGGGGGTGGGGGGCGGGTGGCTGTGATGGCGTGAGTCATTGTTATCGGCCGGGGATTTTGGCCATTTTAACTGACCGGAATGGACAAAGGTGAATAGTGGTCAGATGTGGCCGGACTGACGATTAGCAGTCCCGTGTTATAGCGAGTGAATGGACCACCTCGCTACAGAATCGAGAACTAGACCAGCAGGAGGTTGAGCAGAAATCTTTGGCTTCCTTGGAGTCCAACGTTTACTGTTAACTTTCACATCCCCTGTATGTGGGATTGTGTGTGTGATAGAATCACACATACGTTGTCACAGTTTGTGGATACTCGAACATTCAAACACAAATCTAAGAAAGAAAAAAAAAATCTTGCGATGTAAATGTAACGAGATTTCATGCCACTATCGTTCCCCCCCCCCCCCCCCCCAAACAAGATAACCCTAGTCCTGAGGTCGGTCACTTTTTTCATAAATTTGATCTGCTAAGAAGATATTTTAGGAGCCGCATGTCATTTTAAATTAATAAAACATCTCCATCTATACCACCAGAGCCTGTATCTGCATTGGTAAATGAAGTCACCTGTAAAGACTTAGGAATCTATACCACCAGAGCCTGTATCTGCATTGGTAAATGAAGTCACCTGTAAAGACTTAGGAATCTATACCACCAGAGCCTGTATCTGCATTGGTAAATGAGGTCACCTGTAAAGACTTAGGAATCTATACCACCAGAGCCTGTATCTGCATTGGTAAATGAAGTCACCTGTAAAGACTTAGGAATCTATACCACCAGAGCCTGTATCTGCATTGGTAAATGAAGTCACCTGTAAAGACTTAGGAATCTATACCACCAGAGCCTGTATCTGCATTGGTAAATGAAGTCACATGTAAAGACTTAGGAATCTATACCACCAGAGCCTGTATCTGCATTGGTAAATGAAGTCACCTGTAAAGACTTAGGAATCTATACCACCAGAGCCTGTATCTGCATTGGTAAATGAAATCACCTGTAAAGACTTAGGAATCTATACCACCAGAGCCTGTATCTGCATTGGTAAATGAAGTCACCTGTAAAGACTTAGGAATCTATACCACCAGAGCATGTATCTGCATTGGTAAATGAAGTCACCTGTAAAGACTTAGGAATCTATACCACCAGAGCCTGTATCTGCATTGGTAAATGAGGTCACCTGTAAAGACTTAGGAATCTATACCACCAGAGCCTGTATCTGCATTGGTAAATGAAGTCACCTGTAAAGACTTAGGAATCTATACCACCAGAGCCTGTATCTGCATTGGTAAATGAAGTCACATGTAAAGACTTAGGAATCTATACCACCAGAGCCTGTATCTGCATTGGTAAATGAAGTCACATGTAAAGACTTAGGAATCTATACCACCAGAGCCTGTATCTGCATTGGTAAATGAGGTCACCTGTAAAGACTTAGGAATCTATACCACCAGAGCCTGTATCTGCATTGGTAAATGAAGTCACCTGAAAAGACTTCGGAACTGAAAACCCATTAGTGTAACCCTTGTACTTTTTTCAAGAAAAGATTCAATACTCATCTATAAGCTAAAAGTATTTAAACGATTCTTTCGAACCGCTAACTTTTTTATAAGAACTACTATCAACCACCACCACCAGAGCACCACCACCAGAGCACCACCACCAACACCACCAGAGCACCACCACCAACACCACCAGAGCACCACCACCAACACCACCAGAGCACCACCACCAACACCACCAGAGCACAATTTAGAAACTACGACCTGCGGTTTTATTATTTTAATTATTTTGTTTCTTTTGCTTTCATGTTTTTCCCATAAAACTTTTATATTATATGTTCCATCAATGGAAAAAGTCAAATGGGTGTCATCCTTTTCTTCTTTTCAAATTTATTGATGTGTCTGTGAATGCGGCGTGTGTGTGTCGGCGTCTGTTAGTTGTCCGTATGCACTGAACTGTCTTGTTCTTAGAACTTCGTGATTTCACTTTTGGCATACGTTCATCCGTCTGGGATTAGAAATCCTGACGTGACGTCATAAACTGAAGAAGGAGTAATTTATTAAATGACGTTTTCACACCCGATGTTTTTTCCTGATACATGCCCATTCCACAACATTTCAGAGTCTTCGTGTGGGCCCTGCAACCGCTGTGGCCTACAGAAGGCCTCGAATATTTAAGGGGCCCAAAGTTGTGATGTGGACAAATTTTAACTATCCATTTTTAATGCAAAAAAAGTGGG